TTGAACATTGACGACCCCACATGTTATTCATCTGTTGCGACAATGTGAAATCATGTAAGAATGTGCAATAGGAGCCACATGTGTCCACTGTCACTATACTTTAAAGCCATATCCTCATGCAGCAAACATGAACAGAAGTATCCATCACCTGCAAAGCTGAGTGTAAGATAGATTTATGTTATCTATTTATATTAGGGCTGTCAAAATTATCGCGTTAACGCACGTTAATTAATTGTTTTCATTAATCGCGTTAAAAAAATTAACGCATTTGACGCATGCCCATGCGTCCCATGATAACACTCAGAATGCCGCGGACACATGCGCGTGTATAAGATGGGGACAGAGCAGGTAGGCCCTCTGGGAATTCAAGTTTTGAAAGAATACACGCGTGACCGCGAAGCACTTGTTGTTTCCTGTATGAACTCTGCATGATGAGCTGCGGACGCGACAGCGCTCTGGACAGCAGTTCCCACTTCCAGCGGCTGTGATCACGGCGAACGGCGCTGCGTAATGGGATCATATCCAAGACCACGCACAGAACCATTACAGAACTATTCTCTAGTGTGCGTACGTGTCTTTGCGTAACCGATGCACACAATATGTACAGCGCTGAAGCTGGACTGCGGAGCCTCAAGCCAATTGTATACTCGCGCGGCGCGGAGCTTACGGAGGTGACGTGACGTCACTTGCAGACCTCTCAAAAACGTCTTTACAGGATGGACCAAAAGTTGGCTTTTTTTGGTCCACTCTAGTTTACTCGCGGGGAATTTTTGAAGTCTCTCGTTCAAATGAATGGAGCTGCGCCAGCTGACGCATGCGCAGATGCGTTTTTTCACAATTTTCTTGTGGGCGGGACCACTCGCGGCCATCTTGGATTGCTCCATGAAAGCACTTTTCATGGCCAACTCCTATGAACGGTGGAGATAGGCGTGACTCTGTCCATTAATATGTACAGTCTATGGTAATGAGCTCAAACAGCTTTGTTTGCTATTGTTGTTCTGAAGAGGACAAAGTAGCAGCGTAAATGGGACCACGCCTGTGTGATCGCCCTCATGTGGTTTGTTGTGGAAATACAAAATTCTCCTCAAAACTCCGTAAGGGGAACGCGCCAGTATAACATCAATTGTGCTTACGTACAGTAGGTCCACCGCAACCGCTAACGTAAGCCACGCCGCGCGAGTATACACTAGGCTTCAGTCTCCTCCGTGTCTTCTCCCGAAGCGCACTCGCTAAATTAAAGCTGAGGTACCTAATTTTCCTTTCGACCATCCATTCATGTTAGTAATGTTAGTAAAAAAGTAATGGTGTGAGCAAATCAAACAGATTTTATGACATTCTGCATTTCAGACTATTTTCAGACTATTTTGAAATGTCCCTCATCTGTAACAAACAATGGTTTTGGTCTGAGTCTAAACAGAAAGACAGAATGTTAATAATGTTAATTCCATTTTATATGGATTTATTGTTATAACAAACAAATACAGTACATATGTTCACTAAGCTGTTAAGCATTTATCTTTCCATTCAAACAACAATTTACAGAAAAATATGGCATAATTTTGCCAATAGTTTGAAATGTGATTAATTACGATTAATTAATTTTTAAGCTGTAATTTATGGAGGACCAAAAATGACTAAAGTATAAATAAATACATAAATAAATAAATACAGGAGTATATTAATAAATACATTCATTTTGGACAATAAAAACTAAATATTTACATTGATATGCTAAATATAACTCTGAAATCAAATAAATATACTTTTATTTAGGTTATTTATCAAAATCTACATTTTTTCCTTTATTTATTTATCCATTTATTGCATATATTTATTTATGTATTTCTACATTTCTTCATTTATTTATTTATGTATTTCTGTGTCGCTGCATTTCTTCATTTATTTATTTATGTATTTCTACATTTCTTCATTTATTTATTTATGTATTTCTACATTTCTTCATTTATTTATTTATGTATTTCTGTGTCGCTACATTTCTTCATTTATTTATTTATGTATTTTTGTGTTCCTGTATGCTAATTAGGTGGGCGGTGCTGAACTCAATCTAGAACAGGATTGGTTAGGATTGCGTGAACTCTGGTCTCGATCATTACTGCCTCACATTACGGTACTCTGTTAGCTAGCTAGAGATCCTCTGTGCACTTTTGTGTGGTATGATGGCAGTTTCGAATGTAAGTTTTTTAGGAGCCATTGCTCATCAATTAAGAGCATTAGCAAATGATGTTAATGATGTTGAGCATAATGCACCTGAGGACTATCTACTCTTTCGGCTGGGAAGACTATAGATGTTTTAGTTCATCACAGTGCTGACCCAGAGGTAGACTTTGATGCAACTGTGCTGGACGCTCTTCAACAAGCTATACAGCAGCTTCACATCCTCTCACAAACCGAGAAGGCTAAAGCCTAGCGTACATCGGACTGGCAACTGATTATATCCGTCGCATATGAGTTGCTGCCCCGCACACATCGACAATCTGACGAAAACGGGCAACTCCCAGTCGCAGACCAGTCTGGGGAATAACAGCGCGTACATCGACAGCAACTGGCCTCAACTACAGTGTGTTTTCTGACATAAACTGTTGCGGGCTCGCAATACACGCAATACACACACGTTGTCGGAGCGGCGCATGGAGCGCGCACATCGGGTCATATCTCCGAAACTGAGGACAACTAGTTGCCGAAAAGTAGAACACGGGCAACTGACTGAAACTGGAGACCGACTGTTCATCTCCAGTTGTAAGAGCGCGCACATCGACCGATTTCAACTGATCATCTCCATCATCTCCTCTCAGTTGTCAAAAGCCACCTTGCAACTTGTCTCCAGTTTCTCTGTCGATGTACGCTAGGCTTAAGTTTAACTTTGCTTCTATCTGGTTGCCCTGGCTGACCTACTGCCCACCAATCCTGTTCTAGATTGAGTTCAGCACCGCCCGCCTAATTAGCATACGGCAACACAGAAATACATAAATAAATAAATGAAGAAATGTAGAAATACATAAATAAATAAATGAAGAAATGTAGAAATACATAAATAAATAAATGAAGAAATGTAGAAATACATAAATAAATAAATGAAGAAATGTAGCGACACAGAAATACATAAATAAATAAATGAAGAAATGTAGAAATACATAAATAAATAAATGAAGAAATGTAGAAATACATAAATAAATATATGCAATAAATGGATAAATAAATAAAGGAAAAAATGTAGATTTTGATAAATAACCTAAATAAAAGTATATTTATTTGATTTCATAGTGATATTTAACACATCAATGTAAATATTTAGTTTTTATTGTCCAAAATGAATGTATTTATTAATATATTCCTGTATTTATTTATTTATTTATACTTTAGTCATTTTTGGTCCTCCATAGTAATTAACTCGATTAAAAAAAATAATCGTTTGACAGCCCTAATTTATATATATATATAAAACAGTAATTCAGAGATCACAAACTTTATTGTCCAAAACAAACAGGCTGTCCACCATTTTAAGCCAATGTAGTCACACAGGCATTTTTTCCCATACCCATAATTTTGTTTCAAATCCACATTAAATTCCAAGCACTTATCACTTTGTGGTTGTTCCAGCAAATGTTTATATGCGACAATATATTACATCACAAACAAGTTAAAGTCTGATTCCCTTGTTGACAAAGGGACACTGATAATAACAGTCGCCAAAGAACTTTAGGGGTTACTCCAGTGCGCTGGTCTCCAACTGTAAGCATATGTCAGTCAGTCGTTAAGAGACATGCACTGTCATCATAGCGCCTCGGTGGACTAACTAAAGAAACTGCCAGAAATCTGCTGCTCAGCTGTCTCCTTTGTACATCACTGCTCTGCTCGCTCATTACACAGATCCACACAGTGTGAACTTTATGCAGGACTTAAGTACGTCATGCTACGTGCATGTGCGATCCAGCTGTGTAATTTAGCAGACATTGTTAGTGTTTAATTATTACAATTGAGTTTTAAGTTTGTCCTTTTTTATTTTTTTCCTTTTGGCAGTTTTAAGAATAGTAATGAGTAGTGGCATGCTGGCTGTGCTCATCTCTTAAATTTGGATGTCTAGATGGTGAGATAATGCATTTGTTTTTAACCTGACAATCACTTCTCAAATGAAAAGCTATGAAAAGTGATTAGTGTCCCAGAACCTCATGCTGCTAATGTACAGCTGTACACATACTGCTGCTAACATGTGCAGATGCTAACATATAACTACATATTGCTTGCAAACACAGGACTTTACAATTGCCTCTTATTTTGCCAAATGTAAAATTTGTATACTTCTTTATTAATATTATGTTCGAGATGGAGATTTTATACTTGTTCTGTGATGCTAGAGTTTTAGATTTAGTTATATTTTAATTAGTATAGCTATTTTCCACATATATTGTGTTGTGTGCTTCTCATTCCTACTGTTCTGTAACTTGTGATGCAACACTGAAAATTCCCCACTGTGGGACGAATTAAGGTCCCCCTAATCTTGATCTTAATTGTAATATACGTAAATGCCAAGAGAATATATCCTACATTACCTAACTTGTTACCAATCTTCAGTTACTGGGGAATTTAAGATATTGTTTGGCATAATAATATATTGAAAACAAGGTATTATTGATGTAATTTACACTTTGACTTGTATAAGTTAGGCAAATAGACATAATGCCCGCCATTTGTCCACCCTCATCACTTAAATACCCTTCTTGGGACAGTTCACTATAGTGACCTAAAAATAACAGCAACACTAAGCAAACTGTATTCTCATACGAGTAGCCTCAATGCAGCTTCTACAATCTATTTAGAAATACACATCTCTTTGAGTACACATTTTGAATCTGAGAGGAAAACTTCTATTAATACTATGACCTGTTTTTTCAATCTATGAAAACCATTTTAACATGTCTTGGGAATGTGCTGAGAGCTTTAGTGTTTTTAGACATTAACTATTAATACTCCAAGGTACTCACCATCTTCAGTGGGTATATAAATGTTGAGGTAAAGGCAGTCCTCGCTTTGATTCTGAACATAGGTAGCTGCAGCATCCAGATTGTCTGTGAACCACACGGGCAGCATGATCTCTGGCAGGACACCATGCACATTCTGGGGGCACACTGGGGCAAACTGGGTGGCATTTTTGATCTCCTGCCATGATCCAGGGGCTTCAGGAGGCTGAAAACGCCTTTCTCCTACAGGTGCTGTTGCATATGGAACTCCTAAGAACTGTTCAACTGGTCCCAAGATCTCATTGTTCAGGTCTTTCTTGATACCCCGAATTTTGCCATAGCCCGTGGACACAATGGGGTATTTGGGGTCCACACGTTGACAAAAAGACAAGGTCAAAAGTAGGGATAGTCCCAAAAGCCAAAGGAGATAGTGATTGGTGACTTGCTGAGAGGGGTGGTACCGCTTGCCACCATAGCCTTGGTGGCCAGCAACATTTAGAGGAAAAAACAACATGTCCAAAATAGAGACTCTTGTCGTCATATCACTTCAGACGGGCACAGACAGGAGAGTATCCAATCGGAAGGGAGTAAACAAGGGTAAAAAGAGGATGAGTGGCAGAGGACAGGTGAGCTGGTGCCCTATGCTGACATGGTGCGGCGCTGGGGTAGGTAGCATTCTCAGAGAATGCGTGTGGTTTCATCCGTCTTCCTCTTCAGCTCCTGATAGGCCCGAGGCTGCAGTCAGGATCCAATTAGGCCTGAAAGACACAGACAGGTTACAGGTGGGATTGTGTGACAAGTCGAGCTGTGCTTTTTAAAGGTGGCGTCAGCGTATTTAAAAAGGCAAAAGAGAACAGAAGTGAAAATCTGCTCACACACCAATCATGATTGTACTGTGAAGACTGTATTGCTGTGGGAGGAAATGTTGACAGGGAACAGTCCAGACAGTACACAAATATTATACACAATAGGATGGCTGTTTCCATTTTTAGTACTAGGAGAACAAATATCATAATGCTATACATAGCCTCCCCTATTCCCTGTCTGTAGGAGTAATATATTCAAGGAAACGAACAAATTAAAGGAGCTGAATAGTATCTTGCAGTGGCGGCCGGCCAATAGAGGGCGCTAGGGCGCCGCCCCACCACTCACAACTTGCCATGTTACCTTGAATAAAACGTTAAAAAAAATAATAACATTAAAATATTTCGAAATGTATGTGTGTTTTATTTCAGATGTGGAAGAAATACTCTATAGTTTATGCTGAGTTGGATTGATTAAGCTCATCAGCGTTGTCTGTGTCGGACTGAGGACGTATTTCCGCCTCAGGGCGCAAAAGATTGCGCCCTGAGCCGTCTATGGACTCTCGTTAAAAGTTGTACATGCGCAGTAGCTCCTCTTCAATGCAAGAGATAAGACGATTTGGGGGCGCAGGAGAAGTGCGCCCTGAGGGGGCGGGATCGCCCGCGACCTGTACTGTCACTGTCTGTGACGTCCGTTTACAGTGATTGACAGGTCAAGCTGTGGGAGTTTGAGACGAACGTAAAGAGACGCAAAATGGAGAACGAGAAAAAGAATAATTCAGTTAGATCACTCAAAACAATACCGTTTGAGAGAAGATCATACCAGGAGAAGGTTGAGGTTGAAGAGCTTGGACCTGATCAGCCAAATATTACCATTAGTCAGCAGTCCAGCGACAGGGGGAGACGGTACACTCGTACTTTTTCCAGGACCTGGTTCAGCGCCAAATCTTGGCTAGCAGCATGTAGCGAGGCTAATGCTTTATTTTGCTTTCCATGCCTCTTGTTTCAAACATCAGGATCTGACCCAGCATGGATCAAGACAGGTATGACTGATCTGAAGCACTTTTTAGAAAAGGCAAAGAAGCATGAGCAGACTGGTATCCACATGCAAAATGCCCTCAAATTAGCTATGTTTGGGAAGATAAATATTTCATCCCAGCTGGATGAAAGCTACAGGGTAGGGATCAGAAAGCACAATGAGGAGGTTGACAAGAATAGGCACATCCTATCAAAAATAATAGACTGTGTCAAATTCTGTGGTGCATTTATATCTTGTCATCATATTCATAGCCCCCCCAGTAGAAAATTCCACCAGCCGCCACTGGTATCTTGTACCATACTGACCAACTGAACCCCATTAATTTTTTAAGTTAAGTTAAAAGGTTCTATAGTCAAATTTATCAAGACATTGAACCTATGAGTTTAAAAACACTATCCATGAATATAATTGAAGTTTATTTATTTATACAGTACAGACCAAAAAGTTTGGACACACTTTCTAGTGTTTCATGAGATGAAAAGAATGAGTTTCCATTCTTTTCATGACTATTGACTGTAGATTCACACCCAGGCTGTGTAAGGGCTATCTGACCAATAAGGACAGTGGTGGGTGCTGGTTCAGATGACCTGGCCTCCACAGTCACCCGACCTGAACCCAATCCAGATGGTTTTGGGGTGAGCTGGACCACAGAGTGAAGGTGAAAGGGCCAACAAGTGCTAAGCATCTCTGGGAACTCCTTCAAGACTGTTGGAAGACCATTTCAGGTCTCTAAGAGAATGCCAAGAGTGTGCGAAGCAGTAATCAGAGCAAAAGGTGCTACTTTGAGGAACCTAGACTATAAGACATATTTTCAGTTGTTTCACACTTTTTTTTGTACATACATAATTCCACATGAGTTAATTCATGGGTTTGATGCCTTCAGTGTGAATCTACAATTTTCATAATCCTGAAAAAAAAACTCTTTGAATGAGAGGGTGTGTCCAAACTTTTGGTCTGTACTGTATATACACGGCATATTCCAACAACACAGGAAGCCATGACATTTCGAACATTATTAGCCTGGGAATCCCCATTCTGGTGTTTTTCTCTTTCTATTTTGAAATGTACAACGAACAGGAAACTCGGAACAAAATATTTGCATCGATTTGGAGACTAATTACAGATCACTGAGGCAAGGCAACGAGGAAACACTATTTGACTGATGAGAGCTTGTAGTTTACAGCTTTTCATCTGAATCTTTCCTCATATTTAACTTACAATCATTCAGCACCTGTTTTTTTTTTGTCGCTTCCCCCCCTTCTCATTATAATTCTGATAACATATGCCATTGTATATTAGGGATGCACCTATACCGGTATCGAGTATTGCGTCAATAGGCTTCTACTCTGCCGGCATTCTATAACCACAATTTTAATTAACATTAGCGCCAAGACAGTAGACATCAGTGCGGCACGTGTTGCCATGGTGATCTCTCAAAGTCAGCAGCAAGAAGGCAAGCTAGTGGCAAGCGGACAGGATGTCGGTCGTATGCATGGCTCTATTTTTAAGTAAACGAGAGTAAAGCAGACTGTAAGTTGTGTAAGGCAAGATTGTCATGAGGCAGGTCCAAAACAAACACGTACGACACCAGCAACTGGATCAAGCATCTGGAAATTGTGCACACATGTGTTATAGGTGCAAGGAGTATTAATACTTTTTCAAGTATTATGTCCAAATCTTGCATGATGGCTGAATATGAAAAGAAAAGCTCTAACATGGCCAGCCCTCCAAACCTTAAACTGAGGGTTGTAGTTTGTAGTGCAACCAAGAGAAAAGGAATTTTGAAGATTAGTAGGAAATAACTAAATACATATTAGTGGGTATAGGAACAAATATTGACATTAAATATCTATTCTGTGGACGGTCAGGTACTTGCTGACTGATCAAATCAAATTAAATATGCCACAGTTCGAAGCTTGCAGAGACATATTCCAAGCCTTCTGGCATCTATAACTGGAGTAGAGGTGGTTCCACAAAGTACTGACTCAAGGAGGCTGAATACGGTTTAGGATTGTCTTTATTATTCCCACAGTGGGGACATTTCATATTGCATATTGCCCTGTTAGTGGTTATAGTAAGAGAAAATGTAAAAATGTTCATGGGGTAATTATTTTTTCAATGCACAGTATAAAGTAAAAAAAAAAACAAAAAAACCCCATGAAATTAGTAGTTTCCTGTGATTTTATCTCAATTGCAATAGGATTCAGACTGTATGATGTAATGAATTTCAGGGAGACGGCAGCTGACAAAAGCGGAATTAAACAAGGACTCCATTGTGCTGTGGGAGGACAAAGCATGCATTTTGCATTCCCAAAATTTATCTTTTTTACTACAGTTTCAAGGAAAGACTGAGATTCTTTTTTTATTCCATTGTTTATTTAATTTTTTCTTCATAATTTTGTCTTGCTGCTGCGCCTTTACTTTTGTTTTGTATGTTCTGTAACTGCTCATTTATATGTCCAAGAAAATCTGAGAAATCATATCTATGCCAAAGTGACATGTACATTTATCCAGTGTGAGATCAATAAAGTCTATCTTATCTTATCTTAAGAAAAATGTCCATCTTCGTTTAAAATAAGATTTATCTTTTTTAAAAACAAGGAACCCATTTAATATTCTGAAAAAGTCCTAGAAGTCTTGGTTTTTAAACAATTGCCTTGTATACCATAGGCATGATCAAATAGCGTTGTAGGAGCTGAACAAGCAGAATATCATGGTTCTACACTTCTGTTCAAGGCCTCTGTCAGAGTTAGCCTTCTCTCTCCACTCCGACTTCAACCTCTTCCTGCTTCCACATCATTACAGATGAATGGTCAGTGCTTATCTGTCCCTGGCTTTGGGACACGGAGCCGTTTAGGTGTGATAAAGGCTTTATATGGAGCTATCTGTTGGGTGAATGCCACCTCATCCCAGCACCCTCGAAGGCAGCGTGCTATATACTCCACTGGCACAGAATCAGGCTAAAGAAGCCATGGCACATCACAATAGCTTGCGATGTGAGAAGGATATTGTGGATTGTGGTCAAATCAGAGCATGGTGTCAATGACTGACTGGATGGTTTCTCTTGGAAATGCTTTATAATAATGTTCATCCATTAGTTCATCATGAGTATATACATGATTCATATTAATATTAATTCAAACAAGAATTCATAATGAATTTATGCTAATAATTCATTGCTTGAGTTAATTCATGATCTTCATGATGAATTTCACACTGAACAACTGAACAAGTACTTATTCATCATGAATGAATGGATGAATCATAATGAATAAATACATTATTAAA